AGGCTGCAGATAGCTGTTTATTACAAATGACTTCCACCTCCTCCACAGCCCTCAAAGGCAAACTATAAAGCTGTGTGCAAAGCCAGACAATCTGGGCACCCAGCCATAAACCATCACTGCTGCAGCACAGATAACTGTTCTCACTCTCAGCCATCCTTGGCTGCAAACCCACGGGGAAGAGCTCCAGAAAGCAGAGCTCGGTACCGTCAGGGCTTCGAATATTTTATGAGCTTGAATTACAACTACGTTCAAGACCTCAGTGCTGAGAAATTACAGTGCTGATTCACACCCAGGGCTGAGACCAAAACTCACTCAGATTTGCTTGGTACCCTGAGCCATGAGATGTAAGAACAGCCCGTTATTTTACAGCTGTCTTCAGTGACAGAAGCCTTTTCATTGGGATGAAGAGGGAGATATGTTACACTTTAAAAAAAAGACAAAGGAATCAGATGCATGTTTTCAAGTACTGCTGTGTTTTCTGCGAGTGATACCATCTTTGATACAACCTCAAGGAGCACTGTGGCTATTCTGTGTGCAAGAAAAGGCAGTTTTGTTATGATCAAATTCTGATATTTTCATCTTGTGCGGGAGATTCTAAAACATATTAGTGACAGGGCAGGAAGCTGCACAAATAAAGTTTCAGAAAACACAGTTGTAACTGTGTGAGTGAAGCCACAGTGAAGTTAACCATGATTAAGTAATTTTAGAAGTTAACTATAATTAAGGAATGATAAAATAACTGTAAGTACATCTACTTTGGGAATTTAAGATGTACAACTAAGCCATGCTTTTGGCAGACAGTTTTCAAAAACAGCACAGATTCCTAAAGGAAGATCAAATAATACTTTGATTCCTCTGCTTTCATACATTAAGAATAACCATCTTTCATTTCACCAATAGCATTTGCCAGTGAAGAGACTGCACAGAGCACATAGATCATTTAGTAATGCAATTTACTGTCACTTCTAGATCATCTCCCCATTCAATAAAGTATACTTCTCCTCTAAACACTATTTGCCCTGGCTGATATCTTCATAATACAGCTGAAAACCTCAAGCCATTATCACTAGAAGGCATCAGCTGATCCTAAATTGGCTAGACTGCAGCGTCACAGGCATTTAAGAGGTTTCCTTATCATTCATCTTTAATACTGAGGGATCGACACACTCCTACCTGCAGCTTCCAGGCCAAAGGGAAACCTTCTAATGGTATTACCATTATCTTGTAATCTGAATTTTAAACGATTAAAACAATAGCACTTTTGTGTTGCAGGTCTCTACTGTAACCAAAGATGATACATTTTTCATCAGTTCTCGTTTAAAGTCCTACATAAAGCACTGATTTTTTTTTTTTTTAAAAAAGCAGCAATATGCACCCTGCATTTAAGCTGCTGAACCTTCAAAGAGAAGCAGCAGTGTAACAAGGCACTGAGATTTAAGTCATCACCAGAGAGTATTTGCTTTACTTAAGGAGGGTTTGGCCATTTCATTCTAAATCTGCACTTCTCGTAGTCAATACGCTCTGGCAATTCTTTCCAAATGAAAGCCTCTTTTTACTGAAGCAAGGGATGGCTCCACCCCTGACCTCCTCCTTCAGCTTGTTTTGGAAAGGGGCCAGATGACAGCATTTGGAAAAGCGCATGTTTATCTCGGCGAGGCCAGCTGCTAAGTTAACATATTACCCGTTCCCACATACACTGCTCTTGGTTAAGTCTTCACAGCTAAAATTGAAAGTAAACGCTGCCATTGGGCTTTTAATAACCTGAACACGAAAGAGAAAAGGAGTCTCCATGGCATGGAGCACCTGAACGGGATGGAGAAGTGTAGGTTATTTTGAATTAACAGCAGGCAGTTAATCTGTAAATAAATTTCATGGCCTTTCTGAATGAAAACCAGAAGGTTTTATTACTAAACTAATTTAAAGGTAAGCTTTCTATAAGGCTGCCACTCAGCAACAGTTTGCTCCAAGACACAAAGTGATTATAAGCCCCTGCTTGACAAAACCTTTATCTTGTTTTATAGTTAATCCAGCTCGGCAAGGTATGGAACGTGGGGGCTTTGAGAACTTCAAAAAAGAATCTTCAGGTTAAAAGTAGTATGTTATTTCTCTTATTAAGGGAATTTTGTTCTATAATTTTCAAAGTCTTAAAAAGCTCATTGAAAGGAAAAAGTATAGAATTACCTTCCTTCCCTTAAACATCAGTGAAAGATCACAACTCACCAAAAAGCACAGCTTGTTATTTTAACAGGAAAGGCAAGCCCTGGAATAACAAAAAAGAAATTAAACCAGACAGGTGGGGTTTTCATGGATCCCAGCAAGGTCCATCAGGCTTTGCAATGGCGGGTAAGGCAAACCTCATCCACTCACAGGGGATCAGATTTTGGGAGATACCAGGTCTGAAGGGGAACCTCCAGGTTCCCAAGTGGTTCTTCAGCCAAGGGCAGCGTCCCAGAGCAAACTCCACTATCCTCTGTACCAGCATGGAAACGGCACGGCCCAAGGCTGCCCACAGGGACATTCCCGGGCACTGGGAACGATGCCCTGCACCACTGACAGCCGAGTTACAAAATAATCCCAGTGCTGTAAAACACATGTACGAGCACACATAAGCCACTCGTATGTAACACACTGCTCGGGTCCAGTCAGCTCTTAGTCTGATGGATACCGACCCCTAAATTTGTCAATATGGCAATCCACCCAGAGAACAGCAACGTAAATATTTCCTGAATATATCCTACTGCAATCCAGACGAGCTCCCACTAAAAAGGTTTGCCTGCCCTGTTTCTTTCATTACTATAAACAAAACCTTTAGACACAACTACAAAATGTTGCCTAAAATAACAGCGCCTACTAACACGTATCCCCTCTTGCCCTGGAGCAAGTCCTGGCTCCAGCACAGTTTTCCCGATGCCAGCACCTGCTCTCCAGGGGCTGGACTGAAATGAACCTTCCTCATCTCACCAGCTCCGTGCCAGGCGGATCCCTTTAAGTCAGAAATGATCCGTTCTCCTTTGAAGATAAGGACAAAGCGACGCAAGGCATTATTACAGTACTGCTGGTGCCCTTCAGCACTCATTTTCCCTAAAAAAGTTCAAAATAATCTGATTTACTACAGCTTTCTTCACAGACTGAGTCACGGGCTCGGAAGCAGCAAAGGTTACCCAACACCCGAGGATAACACAGCTTCTGTATCTCACCCAAAAAGCAACAATCTCACCCAAAAAGCAGCATCAGTGTTACCAATGACAGACCGAGCCTCCCACAGGCTGGAGCAGTTTTCTCACTGGCGTACGCAGGGCTGACACTGATGCTTTCATGTTCTGGAAAGGATTCCAGAAGCCAGAGCAGGAACGCCAGTGCATCCGGGGGCTGGTTCCTCAGCACACCATTTTGAGCTCACAAATAACACACTGGAGCGGCCAGACTGATATCCCAGGGATTTCTGAATTTGAGGAACCGCGATGGTGGAAAACTGTGTGATGTGCTTTAAGCACAGGTTGCACCCGCTGCAAATCACCTACTGTTTCCTTGGAAAACACAGGGGGAAGCAGTGAGAATCTGCGCGTACCTTCCCACCACTTTCTTGAAATTATTATAAAAAAATGTAATATCCGAGAGGAAACTGCGTTTAAATTCTCAGCCGTAGGTGAAGCCGAAAAAAACCCACCCACCGCATGGGATTAGGGCAGGATTTGGAAGCCATGCCTTCCTTCCCCAGTGCATCCAGCAGCAGTGCAGATGTTCTCCTGCTCCTCCACTCTGGCATTGTCCTCAGGTCCACGGCACCACCGACACCCACCTGATTTAAAGCTCTGCACCATCGACCAGCCCACTAACAGCGGGATTTATTGGAATTTTAATTACCCTAACCGGCCTAATGTCCAAAGCAAATTTCTGTATATAAATTAGCATAATTCGCCAGATACATCCATATGCAAACGAGAGGGAAAATATGCAACAGACATGGCTATGACGTACCGAAGATTATTTCTAAATTTAAACTGGCTGTTAGAATAATTGAATAAATCTCTTCTCGCGCATACACTGGAGTTGTAGCAGAAAATAAACTAGCCACAAAGACCAGCAGCATTACATTTAATGGAAAAACAGGGAGAAAAAACCCAACTGAGTTCAATAAATCCCATAATTGAACCTTCAACTAATTACATATTAAGAAGATTAACCTTTGACACAAACTTGTGATACAAACAAAGAAGCCTCAAACAATTAATAAACTTCCAGTGTTTCAAGATTTCTCAGGTTAACAACTGAGCCCTCCCCGTTTTCCTCCCATTCTGCGTCGCAGTTAAAGGAATAAACTCTGTTTCATATTCCCTCTGCCCCTGGACATTTCAGGTTTAGAGGAACATCTCTCTGAATACTCAGAAGAAAATTACTGCGAACCCCCACAGCCTCATTCCTTAGGGGGAAAGGGGAAAAAAAACCCTAATCTAGATATTCTAACTTTTAAGAGAAAGCTGCCACGAAGGACAAAGCTGGAGCTCATCTGCTCGCCCACAGAGCAGCACTGCTGGCCATGCCCTCAATTTTCCAGCCCTGGGATCATTTCCAACACGCTCTGCGATGATTTTCACACGTGTAAGTTCTAAACCAAGAGCACACGGTCATGCCTTGCAGCAGAACCTGCTTTCGTGTCATGTCTGAGTGGCACAACATGCTTACAAATGGTATTTCAAATCGCTGTTTGGTGAAAAACAGCGACTGCAACTGGGAAAAGGGACAGAGAAAAAGATACAAAATTAATTCTAGCATTATTAGAAATCCGCAAGTAGTTCACAGGAAAAAAAAACCGTATAAAAACAAATGCATTTTGAAGTGTTTCCGGGTGGTACTTGCTTCACTGACTAATAAGCAGTTTACAAAAATATAATAATTTGGTTTAGACTTGTGAGAAAAGGAGGAATGCAGTAGTCTAGCAGGTCTCTTCCCTGCTAACTTCTACCATGCCCGGATTCAGAGAGGCTCTTACCCCTTCTTACCTTTTAGTCTTTTCTTTATGGGGCTCTTTGGCAGCTTTCGATTCAGTCTTGCTGTAAGGAAACAAGTGAGTATTTTGTCTACCGTGTAGGGGTCTTTCTGACGTGTTCCTTTCTTATTTTTAATGCTTCTTTTTAAAATTTTTTTGTAAGTGTACCCGTAATTTCACGAATCTGAATACGAAAAAAATCTCACACGGCCAAAAAAACTAAGTTTTTTTTGTTGTTGTCGTTTGTTTACCCCCCTCAGAAAAAAAAAAGTCTGCCACACAGGAGATGAAAAAAAAAACCCAACAGATCAACAGGAAAACACTATCCAAGTAGAAAAGCAAAGAGCTTCAGTGTTATCCAGCCCAGAGGAGAAGTGCAGCAAAAGCAGGTCCAATTCCAAAACAAGCTTTTGACTTCCAGTGAAGCAAAAATAAAAACCAAAAAAAAAAATATATAACCAAGACCAAGACAAAATACACGTTCAAGTCCCCAGCTAAATTTTTGCACGAGTGTGTCTTAAATACAAGTTTGCTTTTATGTGTTGCAGCAAAACCCACGAAAAGCCAGGATTTGGAGTTGATCAGGATGAGTTCTCGTGTTGTGTGTGCCTTGATGGGTTCTCAGTCCACATGGAGGAGCATCTGAGGGCTTTTTCAAAAAGTGCAAATCAAAAAAGAGAAACCGGGATCCAGAAAAAAAAAAAAAAAGAGAGAGTTTTAAGATGGATCCCCCCTTCAAAATAAAAGAGGGAGGAGGGGGAGAGAGAAAAATAAAACACCACGGCGGAGCCACCGGGGGGGACGCGGAGTCTCACATGGGGCTGCGGGCGGGAGGAGGATCCCGCCGGGAGCTCCGGGGGGGCGGAGGATCCAGCGGTGTCTCTGCCAGGGGAGGAGGGTCCGCGGCTCCGCAGGGACCCCGCGGGCGATCCGGGCCGGGAGGAGGATCCGGCGGCCGCTCCCGCAGGAAGGAGCGAGCGCGGGGAGGGGGATCCGGGGAGGAGGATCCAGCAAAAAGTCTTTCACGGAGGGAGGAGGGAGCGGGGGAAACCCGACAGTCTGTGCTCGCAGCGGGATCCGCGGGCGGGCGCGGGGCGGGGGATCCCGCGGCTCTCTCCGTGTCCTCCGCAGGGATCCGGCGGGGATCCGGGTGGGCGGCGGGAGCAGCTGGGACCCGGGGAGGGGGTCGGCGGGGAGGCGGCGGCGCGTCCCCGGGGAGCCGCAGCAGCGCCTCGGGCAGGGTCGGTCGGTCCGCCGGGGCGTTGGGGGCGGGGGGCGCAGCGCCTCTTCGCCGTCTCCTCCCGCGCTCGCTCTCGCCTCCGTCCGCTCACAGGGCAAGGCGGTGCCGGGGAGGGGGGTTGTGGGGGTGCTCAGTGCTGGCGGGCCGGTCCCCCGCTCCTCCGCGCCGCCGCCGCCGCCGCCGGTGCCGGTGCCGCCCTGGGGAGCAGAGGAGCCGCTGCCGCCGCTGCCGCCGCCGCCGCGGCCATTTTGTCGCTGACTGACAGAGCCCCGCCAGGCAGCGCGAGACCGCGGGGCGGCTCCGCGCGCGCGCCCCCTCCCGCGCTGCCCGCGAACAGGAAGTGCCGCGCTCACCGCCCCCCCCCTCACGCCCAGCCGCGCGGGCCACGTGACGCGGAGGGGAGCGGGGGAGGCCCCGCCCTTCCCCGACATGCAAATGAGCGCGGCGGCCGCAGCCAAACAGCGGCGAGGCCACGCCCACCGCGCGCGCGCGCCCTCCCGCCACTGCCCCGCGCGCGCGCGCGCAGGAGGAGGGGGGAATGGGGGAGAAGGGGGGAAGCTGTGACACCCCCCCCAAAAAAGGGGTGTAGAGGGGCTTCATCCCTCACCCCGTGCCAATGGGTGCCGGTGCATTCGGAGCGTTCGCACACACGCAGCCCCACCCACCGTGAACCCCCGCGGGAGACGGGGGGGGACGGCAGAGCTGTGACTCCTCCGAAAGGGTTTAGAGGGGCTTTGCCCCCCACCCTCCCAAAGGCTTGTAGAGGAGTTTTGCCCTCCCACCCGTGCGAATGGATGTAGGTGCATTTACACCCACAGACACGCACCCCGTGAACCCCCGCGGAGGAGGAGGAATCGGGAGAGATGTGCCCCCCCCCCCGAAGGAGATGCAGAGTGACTTCACACACACACACACACATATCCGAAAGGGTTATAGAGGGGCTTCACCCCCACCCCGTGGAAATGGGTGTCGGTGCATTCGATGCATTCACACCCCACCCCGCGGGAGGGGGGAGGGGAAACAGGAGATCTGTGCCACCCCCGAAAGTGTTGTAGAGGGGCTATGCCCCCCTCAAAGGAGTGTAGAGGGGCTTCTCCCCCAGCCCGTGCACACGGGTGTCAGTGCACTCGGTGCATTCACTGCACAAACACCCCAGTGAACCTCCGCGGGAGGGAAGAGGGGAGGACCGGGAGAGCTGTGCGGGGGCACCCCCGCCAAAGGAGTGTAGAGGGGCTGTGCCCCCCCCCCCGAAAGGATTGTAGAGGGGCTAATGCCCCCCAGAGGGGTTTAGAGGGGCTTCGCCCCCGCCCCGTGCAGATGGGTGGCGGTGCATTCACACGCATCCCCCGCGAACGCCGTCGGGGCGTTCACCCCTCCCTCCTGAACACCCGCGGGGCGAGGGGGGACGGGAGAGCTGTGTCCCCCCGCCACAGGCGGCCACAGGGGCTTCAAACATACACACAAACCCCGTGCAAACGACCGTCGGTGCATTCACATTCCCTCTCCCCCCCCCCAAATCTCCGGGGTGGAGGGGGGCGGGAGAGCTGTGTCCCCCCCCGAAGGGGGCAGACGGGCTTCACCCGCAGAGCCCCATGCAGACCCCCGTGCAAACGGCATTCGGTGCTTTTCACCCTCCCTCGCAAACCCGCACCCGGGTTAGGGGGGGTGAAAGAGCTTGTGCCCCCCACCCTCAAAGGGGTGCAGGGAGGCTTCACACACCCCCTGCAAACAGCCGTGGGTGCGTTCACCCCTCCCTCATACACCCCACGTTGGAGCTCCCTTCCACGGGGATGGGAAGGGGCTGCTCCAGGGGGGAGGAGAAGGGAAAGATGGGGTGAAACATGGTCCTGCTGCACCCCGAGGTGCCAACAGCCCCCTCTCACCCTTTCCAGCATCCCTTGCCTTAAACACACATCCCTCTGGCTCTACCTGTACCCTGGCATGTCCATGGCCGTGCGTGTGCCAGCAGATATACCGAGGTGTGGGTCTGCACATGGGTGCAACTGGGTTACACTCCGGGTGTATCTCCAGATACGCCCCAGCTCTCCCCAGTGCCCCCCTGCACGGCTCTGCCGGGCTGTTGCCCCTCACAGGGGATCCCCATCCTACCCAGGTGCCTCCAAAAATAATTCCAGTATTTCCAATGAAGCCGTGGCTAAGCAAACCGGGAAACCCCCCGGGAATTGTGCACCTCGGAGAGGGGAGATGGAAATGTCAGGTTTCAGAGTGGTTGGTTTGCCTCCCGCAATAACCATGTTAACTGTTTGCTTGAGGAGAGAATCAGGATTTGGTCTCAAAATAACACAGGGAAGAGTGGAATGCAAAAATGAGTCATTTTTGCTAAAAATTGTTGTGTCTGGGTCTTTCAGCAGATCCTCTCTGGTTCTCTCTCGTCTCCTGCTTCCTCTCCCCCTTCTGCAGCAAACGTTTTGGGAACTGCAAGGAAATCCAGACCCTGAATCTTTATTTGCTCAGGCCATTCCGCTTAAATCTGAATTGAACGTGGGTTACAGAGCAGGGCTGTCACTGCTGGCAGTGGGATCGCACCCACAGCGGGGGGGGGGGGTAAGAGAAGTACAGCCCCAGCACGATTCCTTTTGGGATTTGTGATGCCAGCCCCAAAGCCACCCTGTGCCAGCCCCTGGGCAAGCAGCACCAGGAGCCCGGAGCCCCTTGACCACTGGAGGGAGCCCATATTGTGCCAGAATGCAGCAGAAATACTACGGGGAAGACAAAAAATACTAAAATATGAAATATCAAATCATTGTAGTCAGAACAAAGTGTCTTCTCCAGGTCAGACCGTGATCTATAGCCATGCAAAATGTTATAAAAATCAGATTTAAATGTCCCATTGTACTTCATTGGCACAAAGAAAGGAAAAATTATTAAGAACAAGGTGCTTTTTTTCCCCCCCATCACGTTTTGAATATCAGTCTGACACCTTTCAACGGGAGTGAATTAATGCACCACGATGGTGGCAGACCTGGCTTGGAGGGAAAATGCCCTTGTGCCATCCCAAGAGCTGGCACAGCTCCAGCTTGGTCTCCTTGCTTAAATGTAGGTCAGCACCTATAGACTCCTTCCCACACCTGCCCTGGAGCCGCAGCAGCTCCCACAGTGCTGCTTTCAAAAGAGGTTTTTGCTCTCCCGATAAACCAACCACCCCAAAGAAGCAGAACAGGAGAAGCCACGTGTCCTGCACAGGGGACAAGCATCCTCATCCTCACCATGTACATACAAGAGGCTGCCCTGCACCAAAAACTCTGCTTGGCAATCGAGCGGAGGAATGTTCCTGGTCCCTTAAATTATGTGTTGTGAACGTGGAAATATTTGTAATTCAAAACACGCTTTTAACACACAAATATTTCTGGCTCCGCAGAGTGATGCCAAGTTGCTGGAGACCCTGAAATGTCAAAATGGAATAAAACTGAAAGTGATTTGTGTACTAATCTGTTTTCTTGGCCCTGGCAAAATTACCATCAAAAAGCATGATGTAACGACAGCCACACAGACACGGATATCTGTGTTTGATACCCGTGTTCTAAAATACCATCCTTAACAGGTAAAAACGTGTTCTAGTAAACCTTTCCTGTCTTACCTGAGTTCTTTTACCAGTAAATACAGGGCTTTATCCAATGGAAATTTTATTCCCCCCCCCTTGTTTTGTTCTCCCGCTGAGGTTTTGCCCTCCCACTCCCCTTGGGAGCTCACAGAGATCCTGGAAGCTCGCACAGATCCTGGGTGCATTTGCACCCCCAGCGCCACGGGCTGAGGCTTTGTAGGAGCTGGTGACTGCTGTCACCACGTACACTTGTCCTCAGTAGCCCCCTTGGCCTGAGCTGACAGGACCCTGGTGGGGCACGGGCTTCTCCTTGAGCCGTGTTTCCCAGAGCTGCTCCGGGCAGCCGCTGCTGCCTTTGAACCTTCTCCTTCCCCCCAGCGCTCAGGTAGTCTTTTTTTGTCACACATGAGTAAGAACAGATGTGAGCTGGTGTGAAGGGGAGGAAAAGGGACATACGATGCCAGCAGTTCAGCGCTCACAGAGCAGGAGGAATTCCTGAGCTTGCACCGCTGCCTTGTAAACTTCCAATTTCCCAATCCGCCTGTGTCTCGGGGAAAGGGCTGTGACCAAAATGTTCACAGGGTGCTGGGCATGCTGAATGGATGGGTATGAGCACAAAGAGGCAGGCACTCACACAGATACAGCCTTTTCTTTGCTGGGAGTGACAAAGCTGGGCTAAGCAGAGCTCTTCACACATTCAGGGCTCTGTTGGGGTGGCTCAACCACACCAAGGCAAAATATTCCTCTACTGTAGATTTGACACCTCTTGCTTATTTTCCTGTCATCCAACCGAGTACAGAAGTGGGTCAAAATAGTCACCAAGCACCTCTTACCAAGCGATAATGAGCACACACAAAGCTGATCTCAAAGCCTTGAGGAGAATCCACTCCCTGACGCTGAACAGGATTTCCCAGAGCCCACACAAAGTGAAGCTACACCTCCAAGGCCCTCCCTTGTCTGAGCTGATTTTCAGGGGCAGGGTGGGCAGGATCACTCTGGGAAGCCAGGATCAAGGGTAGCAAGGGCTTTTCCAAGGAAGTTATGGATGTATGAGGTGTTTGCATGGAGTCCATTCCCTCTGAAGGATGCAAACATCCTTTCTGGCCACCCTACCAATTAACTGTACCTTTAGGGTGAACACTTACATAGAATCGTAGAATCACAGCATCATAGAATTTTAAAGTTTGGAAAAGACCACTGCGATCTTTGAGTCCAACCATTAATGAATTGTACTTAACTTACTCATCATTTTTTAATGGAAAAACTCACTTTAATAACTTACATTTCCCTCCCCGCATTTTCATCCTACTTGCTGGGACCATGCCCTGCTGTGAGACACCCACATTGGGATGGTTGTACCCAGCTATGGAGTGTCCTTTCTGTGGCACTGACCCAAAGCAGAAAAGGCTCCTGAAAACCTGGTATCCCGGGTTCCTCCTGATCTCTGGCATCAACATTTCCCATCAGCAAAACCACCATGACAAGCATCATCACAGGAGGCTGACAACTCACCTCTTACCCCCAGCTTGGATGAGCTGGTTCCCCTTTTTTTGTGTAACAACCAAATACTTCAAACACTTGCCCAGAAAACACAACATCTGGATTCAATTCAATTCCCAACCTGAGAGTCTCTAACCTGTATTTCCC